TGTCAAAGGTTTTTTGGAAGTCTGTGCTCCTCTGCCCTTTCTCTGCTCGTCCTCCTAAATCACATTGAGATGATGAACCGCCTCCGAGGCTCAAGGCTCTCTGAGATTTAGAACTTTGTCCTGGATGAAGGACAGGTTAGGAGAGACATTAATATGCAGAACAGGTTATATCAAAACCTCAACGTACTTTATGGCGGCTGGCGCACATTATCAATCTATTTGTGCAAGCTGCCCTGCAAGAATTTCATTTGCCACTCGTTTATTTGCCTTCCTCAACAATTACACTGCCGGAACAGGATTTGATTCAAAGTAATGTTCCAAGGGCACAAGTTACTTCAGTGCACTCTATTGTCAAAGAGTGAGAATTGTCAAAAAAGGCTTTTGTTACTTTCAGTACAATTTTATAGCAATCTATTTCAAGTAAACCCATTTTTAGAAGGGGTCAGTCGATGTACACTATTGGCCAAAAGTTTAAAATAATTTAAAAATTTTTAAAGAAGTCACATTGCTCACCAAGGCTGCATATATTTGATCAAAAATACAGTAAATATTTTTACACTTTAAAATAATTATTTTCTATTTAAATATGTTTTAAAATGTAATTTATTCCTGTGATGGCAAAGCTAAGTTTTTGGTAGCCTTTACTCCAGTCTTCAGTGTCACATGATCCTTCAGAAATGTTGATTTAATGCTCAATTATTATTGGTGCCCAATTAATATGAATGAGTCTTATTATTATCAATGTTGAAAACAGGTTTTGCTTCATAACATTTTTGTGGAAACTGTGATACATTACTTTCAGGATTCTTTGATTAATAGAAAGTTTAAAAAGAACAGCAATCCTTTAAAATAAAAAAGTAACATTATTAATGTCTTTACTGACACTTTTGATCAGTTTAATGTATCCTTGCCAAATAAATATGAATAACTTTTTTTTTACTTACTTACTCCATACTTTTAAATGGTAGTGTATCACGGTTTCCACAAACTACTGGAAATTCAGTTTTGCCATCACATAAATAAATTACATTTTAAAATATATTCAAATAGAAAACAATTATTTTAAATTGCAATAATACTGTATATGACCATTTTAAGATTTTTGCTGTATTTTTGATCAAACTAATGCAGCCTTTGGTAAGCATAAGATACTTTTTCATTTAAAAATGTTTAATTATTCCAAACTTTTGACCGGTTTTGACTAGTTGTGCCTCGGTGAGAATATTTCAGCACCATGGACAGCGGCTTACTGTTGTTCCAGCAGCCATGCAGAAGTGTAGAACGACAGTGCTTAATTTTAGCAGCAGGCCTGCTGTCGAAGAAAATAACATTTGAATTTATTATTTATTTCTTTACAAAAAAATATATGATTGTCATTTGATTGTAAGGCTCATTCAAGATCAAATTTTAGGATGAAAATGTGAGAGACCACTCCTCTGCTGAAATTTAGATTGGAGCGTTCCGGTTCCACTCCAGGTTCATCAACCGTACTCCCAACGACCTACGGTGCTCCCTCTGTAGACCAAATTGGTCTGTAAATTACCCGTTAATTGTGTATGATTATTATTATCATGACGATGGACGTGCTCATCAGACGCTTTTCATTTGGGCCGGCTTGAAAACAGTGAAAGGGACGAGAGAGAGGTGAAAAGAAAGACTATAGGGAACAATAATGGCAACATAACTTATATAATCGTTGCGATACTATGCACAGAACATAATTATAATGATTTGTGCTAACACATTTCGTCCTTGTATTAAAAATATGGCTCAAGGCAAGTCGGGCGTGATCTCGGGCAGCGCGGCCCCAAGGGTATGCTTGCAGAACCGAGCGCAGTGCCCTGCCAAAGAAAGCGGACTGACTCAGCTGGGCTGGGTTATACTGACAGTCTGAAATGACATTAACGGGCCATTACAGCCTTTTGAGAGCGGTAGGTGAGAGGGCCACGGAGTGTATTTCGTTTCCTTTTTAATGCTACTTTGGACCGCATCCAACATTTTTAAATCGCATCATTAAGGCCAAACACATACAAGATTATACTGTGTTTTAATATTTGCCCAGTTGACCTTTGGAACATGAAACGATAAGAGATGCAATGTAGATACAAGAGCTGCTGAGCTATAAATTACTTATTTGGAAAGATGCAATTAAGTCGCTCTTCTAAGAAACATAGCATGCTGCAATGCATTGCATTTTTTTGTATTATTGTGAACTTTTAAAAATAAAGGTTGCACTTAGAACCAAAAAGGAATTTACAATCACACGTCATAGAAAACTTTACACTTTGTACAAAGTGTAAACAACTATTTTTTCTATTTTTTTTTATGTTGCATTTATTTTTATTGTAATGTATCTATTTATATTTTATTTTATTTTATTTTGTACTATTTTATTTTATTTTATTTTATTTTAGAAAACATGCGCACTGATGCTTTTTTTAATATCCCAAGAACCATATATCCAACTCAAGGATACAGTGAAATTCATTGAAGCACTTTTAACATCCGTGGTATCTTCGTATTTTAAGAACCCCCTTTTTTTTCAGAAAACCTTTTGTGCAATGAAAAGGTTCAATGGATGTTAAAGGTTCTTTGTGGAACTGTAGATGCCATCAAAGAACCTTTGTTTTGCATGAACATGTTACATGTTACATTTGGTATCATGTTGGGTCTCCACTTGATATCCAGTGCCAAATCTGAGTTTTGAAGCGAAACCAATTGAGAATCATTGTTCTAAACAGCTACGTCATGGGCTTTTCAAAGCATTCAGAAGGCCTCCTCTAAAGTGGCTTGTTGTTTTCCTCCACTTTAGGTTCGCTTGAGTGCTCCTACCTGCCGTTGTACTGGTGCTGAACACATGTACGCCTGTTGTTCTCGGTGGGCCTCGTGCTCAGCAGGAACTCTGAAGCAGCCTACAATTCCCCATCATTATAAGCAGGTGCTTTGGTCTCGACAGTGGTGTGTCATTGTCAGCATGAAAAACGCTGTGGTTGTGTGCTCTGGTGTGGAAATTGGAGACTTGCATGCAACGTTTGCACATGTGCATACACGCTTTGACTGTCAACAGCGGTTCGTATCGTGGATAAGTGGGATTTTAGAGGTGTTCAGGGCTCAGGTTAGATGTTTGGAGGCATCACTCAAACCTCCAAGCAGTCTTCATTACATCTGTTCAGTCAGTCTTCATTACATGAAGGTTGTTTTTCCTGATCAGAAAGAACAGCAGATCTCTGAAGGTTCATTGATGGGGTTATGTTATTAAATTGAAGAGACACTTTGTTTTTGGCTTCAGTGAAAGAGGAGAGTTTATTGTTGAAGCAAATGCTCTGTAGTCATTCGCAACAGCATTTTTGTCTGATGAAATCCAAAGACACAATAAAAAGTAAGCTCTAAGTGAAAATATATGACTATAAATAATCTCTCTAATAGTACTTAAAATTTCCACTGTCAGCTATTGACCTATTACTCTTGAATTATGTTACAGGGACACAGAAAATATGACCATGCTATAATTCTACTCTAAATGCAGCCATAAATGATAATAAATTTTTTTTAAATGTTTTATGATAAGATTTTAATTGCTGTTTGTAATGTCCATTTCAATAGGCATAGATTCTGAACTCTAGCAACATCCAGATTGTGTGTGTGTGGTCCTGGAATTTCCTACGTTATGGGGGGCCAAACGTCCCCACAAGTATAGTAATACCAGTAAATTTTGACCTTGTGGGGAGAATTGTTTTTGAATTTGTTTTTTTGAAAATCTAAAATAGCAGGGGTCAAACGTTTGTATTATGCTCACCAAGACTCCATTTATTTGATCCAAAATGCAGTAAAAATAGCAATATTGTGAAATATTATTACAATTTAAAATAACTGTTTTCCATTTGAATATATTTTAAAATGTAGTTTTCACTTAGAGATTGCTAGTAAACTTTACAATTACAAAGAAACGGGAAGTAACTTGTTGAATTAAAAGTGAAATTTTGAAGTCATATTTTCTTGTAAAATTACATTTTTATTTCATTTTATATTGTAATTAATTTGAAAAATCATTATTATAGTGTGTGATGGCAAAGCTAAAATATATTGAAATTTAATGTATTTAAATTGTAATATAGAAGCTGTTGTTGTTTTAAGACATTATAAACATTCAAACTATGATATATTTTTTTCTGCATTATTTCCAAAATAAGGTTATTAAGCCACATATGTAGCACTCATATATTGACATAGTACCATCCAATCTAAAAAATGCATTATGATGGCACCAATTGACCAAAACCATACAAAGCACTCAGATAAAAGAGATGCTCACTGGAATGGACACTGGGTGTGAACGAGTTAAAGGTTTCTCTTTGGGAACCAACAATATTGTACAGATTTGTATATTTATTACACCCATTCCTGAACACGCACACACAGTATCGCCTCCCTGCCCGTACACACCGCGCGGAGGAGCTCACAGCCCTCTTTCTAGCTCGTAAATTTAAAAAGAGACATCGATTAAACACAAATACATTTTAGTATTTCTTTGACTGATAAGTCAAAAAATAATAATAATGATAAAATTGAAATTATTTATCCCGGCGAGCGGGCGAGGTTACATGCATAAGGCTGTTTTTGCCCTTGCACTTTCCGAGTGTTTCAGCACTGGCGCTGTCCATTAGATCCCCTCGAATTTTGGTGAATCCTTTGATGCTTTCCTGAGAAATGCACATGGGGGAACATTATGCATTAAAGTGCGTTGAAAAAAAACAATGCATACATGTTTTTTTTTTTTTAAATAAACAGATTGAATGCCACTATGTACAAGTCTAAGGTGCGTCATTCACAAGGCAGCGTACAAAGAGCCGTGTAAATGTGATATTTTCTTTATTTATAGTCCCTCTCCTTCGGCGGAACATACCATGTTTCTGTATAACGATGAGAGGGGGAGAGAGCGCGTCGTGTGACATAAAGCGAGCTGCTTTTTCTTCTCTTCCTCCCCACTGCACTGAGCGCGTTTGAGACAGCCCTGTCGGTTTAAACCGGGAGGACACCCATACCGACTTCTCAATGCAAAAAATAAAAGGGTAGCTAGAAGCTGGGGCGAGGGGAACGGAGGTAAAGCGAATGCTCTCGGTCGGTCTCTCTCTCTCTCTCTCCCTCTTCTCTCGTTTTTATTACATGAATGAATGAATTGAGTAGTAAGGGGCACGTACAAGGAAACACGCCTCCGCCCGGACGACCAAAACGCGTTTGATATTTGACTTGTGTTCAATGGTACGTGTTTGCATCTGTACATTTTCGGCGAAAACCAGAGTAGGACGTCTCATCCCGTCGTTTGAAACACTTCTGAAGGTGTAGCAGCTGAAAGTCCTCGCGGTGAATATGGCAACTTTAACGAACGGACAGGTGGACGCCACGGTGCACGGAGGAGCGGCCAGTACGAACGGACTCATGAACGGAATAAGCCACACGCACAGTCCCGCGAGCTGCGCCACCATTCCCATGAAGGACCACGATGCCATCAAACTGTTCATCGGACAGATACCCCGCAACCTGGACGAGAAGGACCTCCGGCCGCTCTTCGAGGAATTTGGCAAGATCTACGAGCTCACCGTGCTGAAAGACCGCTTCACTGGCATGCACAAAGGTACGTATCACACTCGGTTCCTGTCACTAGAATGTCTTGATTTGCTTTGCCTCCGTTTCCATCATAAAATCGGATGACAGGCTTGGATGTACTGGCTGTTTTTAATGCATATATAAATGCCATATATTAAATGTGTTAGGGAATTGTTCATTCATTGGTGTACTACGAGAGTTAAGTATTGATTTAGAATTGTTCCTTAACCAACACGAAGCGAAATTTGTTAGATAGCGATTGAAGGCGTACGGTACTTCGGTTTTTTTTACGCGAGCCTACCGCTTCACTGGCATGCACAAAGGTACGTATCACACTCGGTTCCTGTCACTAGAATGTCTTGATTTGCTTTGCCTCCGTTTCCATCATAAAATCGGATGACAGGCTTGGATGTACTGGCTGTTTTTAATGCATATATAAATGCCGTATATTATATGTGTTAGGGAATTGTTAATTCATTGGTGTACTACGAAAGTTAAGTATTGATTTAGAATTGTTCCGTAACCAACACGAAGCGAAATTTGTTAGATAGCGATTGAAGGCGTACGGTACGCGAGCCTATTTTGAGGTTGGGGGTGGGTTTTTCACACTTGAAATTGACGTATCGTATTCTGTGTTTCACGCTGTTGATACTTCCTTGCTTAGTTGTTAATTTTGGGTAGTCATGTTTTGAGATTGCACGCTGTGCATTTGTAACGTTCTTATTTGAATATTAACGTTGGACAAATACTGTTTAATAACTGCTTTTTCATCTGTGTGAAAAGTCGCAATGTGGAGCAAAATAATATCGTCTATTCATCATTTTCCGTCGCTGTTCGACATTTTTTAACTGTTTCCCCTTAGACATGGAGACTAAACACGGCGCGTGAAAGTTTTAGCGGCTGTACAAAGCGCACGAATTTTTAATGAGTTAAGAACTGAGGCAGGTTATGATTGGTGTCTGTTGCTAAACAACTCGCCATAACGTTTTAGTGTTAGTGTAACGTATTGTTTCTCTTGCATAACCCAGGGTTAAAAGTGATGCTAACCCCCTTCCAAAATTGCAAGTCTCTTGCTTAACCCAGGTTTAAAACTGGCCTTTAGCCGGTGTTGAGAAAGATGTTAACCCAAGGTTAAGCGTAGTGTGAAAAGCCCTGTAGAAGCTGTCTTGAGGTCCAGCTCAATGGAAAATTTTCCATTGATGCTTCTTCCAGAGACTGAGTACCTCTCTCTCTCTCTCTCTCTCTCTCTCTCTGTGTGTGTGTGTGTGTTCAGGTTTTGCCTACATTGTGCTGACTAGATCTTCAAGAATAGAAAAGCCTGAGTTCTACAGGCTTTTCTGAGATTTTGTAAAGATGGAAAATATTATTAAATCAGTATTAAAACAATAGAAGCCAATAGACCGTCTCCACCACAGTAGAAAAACAAATGTGTGTGTACTCTAGCTTCTGTAAACATTTCCTTCAATTAGTTTTCTTTTTTTATGTGCACAAAAAAAGAAAAGAAAAACTCCATCATATAGTATCTAAGACAAGTAGCCTATTCTCTTGAGCCTTTTGTCTAAGTATGATCGTGCAGGCACTAAAGGTAAATGGCATCCGTCAAGACAATGAAAGAGTACATTATGAGCAAGGATAGGATCTGTGCTGAAAGGGTCTGTCCAGTAACCTCTTAATTGGGAATGTGTAGTCATGATTGTTCCTGTTCTATTGCTTCACAATAAAATATTAATTCATGATGACAGTCCGCACAATAGCATTTCAGTGTGGTGTGTTCTAGCAGTAACAGCAGCTGAACTATAATTACCTCCTGCTTATCTTCTCCACGCCAGTTGGTGTCATACGCAGCAACTCGCGTCTCCGGTTAGGTTCGGCCACAACTGTGCCTTGTTTGTGCGCTCGTCTGCTCCTGCAGTGTGGTAATTACTGCCGAAGCTGTGTACCTGTGGTGTGTTCGGAAAGATCAATTCCTGGAGCCCTCAGCCAGGGGTCCAAAGGGGGTCTCCCTAGGAACATCTTCCCAGGGGTGTCATTATTTCACAGGCCTGTCTAATTGATCCAACCCAGAGGAGATTGTTTAGGGTCACATCAGTGGCTAATTCCCCCATCCGTCCCTGGGAGCCGAGGGAAGAGCTGCGTACCCCAGCCCCAGGGATGTAGTCCCTCTGTTGTAGTAAACAAAGCTGTCCTCTGTATGTGCCTAGCAAAAATGTGGCTTTGAGAAGCGGGTCTGCGGAGGGTAGGAGGTTATCTTTTATTAATAGCACTGCTGGAGCACTCCCCGTCCGGTGGTTAATCATGTTGCTCGTGAACTATGGGGAGTCGTGCCAGCTGATTCTAGGAACTGTCTCATTTCTACAATATATGGTCCTTTGTACCCATCCCCCCACTGCAGGGCCCGTATTCACTAGTGTGGTCGTCAGGCCTTCATGGCTCCATGTTGTAACTGAATTTAGGTACTCGTTCACTCCCTCTCCACAACATAAGCATTGGCGTCAGTGTCTCTCAAAATCCATTTCCCTTTGGCAGCAGTGCCGTACCCTGGAGTACGCTGAGGCCTGTCCGCTCTGGAGCTCTCGTTGCTTCAAGAACTTAATATGCTGTTTTGTAAAACTGACCTTTTCCTTCACTTTCAGAAAAAGTAGTACATTTATAACAGCTTGTCACTGGGACAGTACCCTTAAACAGTGCTAATATGTATCCTTAAAGGGATAGTTCACCTAAAAATTGTCATCTTTTATTTATCCTCATGTTGTTCCAAAACTGCATGCATTTTTTCTGTCAAACATAAAAGAAGATATTTTGTCTCAGTGTTTTTTCTTCCATAAAAAGAAGGACCCAAAAGTTATTTTGAGTTCCACAGAAGAAAGAAAGTCATGTAGATTTGGAACGACATGAGTGTGAGTAAATGATTACAGAATTTTCATTTTTGGTTGAACTGTTCCTTTAAAGTCAGCATGAAAAAGAATTTGCTGTCATCTTTTCCCCCTCTTCTGACGTATATCTGAGTGTAACAGCTTCTCAAAATGAGAAAAAAAAATGGGTAGGACTTATTTTTGTCCACTGAGAATTGATTGGATCATTGTTTGCTAATTGCTGCGATCTCACATCAGAGTGACAGCTTGCTGGATTGGAGGGATTATTGTCTCGTCCTCGTGCCGGTGTACACGTCATCACAGAAGACATGTTGTTGCAAGGGGAAAGGAACGTTAATGTTTTTGGTATAAGACTATAAGGGCACATGAATTTAAAATTATGGTGTGCACAGATAAATAATTTAAAATAAACACTGCAATATGCCATATAAAAAATTTTTTTTTTTTTAAATTGTCCATTTTGATTTCATGGTGACTTCAAAGGATCTGCACCAGTGACGAGCTAAAAGCTACCAAGCTTCCCCTAAAAGTATTTTTGTATTCTGACAGTGCCTCCCTAACAAATGATTATTTGTTAAAGCTCGATAAATACTCTAGTCCTACAGTTGTCTGCCCTCCTTGGTCATTAACATGATTGCATTGTCTTGTTTTCATCATTATAGGAAGTTCTCCATCTTGGCACTTCATCCGTCTCCACCTCCACCCACTTCCTCTTTTCACACGTTATCACCTCATCCAGCCTGCTGCATGTCTCCGCCGTCTCTCCTCTCCCAATCATGCGATTTCTCTTTCCATTCACAGGCTGGAAGGGGTTTTGTCATCCATTTATTCACTCACTTACCCTCCCACACACATCGTTCAAGATTTACCATTACACTCCATGCTGAGATGAGGTCCTCAGAGCAGGTCTGCAGATCTCTGTTGGGGTATTAGGATAACGGAAACGGCAGAACCTCAGGCTTTTCACTGCAAATATTGGTGTCAATTAAAGCCGGTTTCTGCTTCTTGCAGATGATTGGTTAGATGTTGGCATGACAGACTGGGGCAGTTTGGCGAGCCAGACTGCCGAGATCACATCCAGACACAAAATAATAATTCTGTCATTATTTACTCACCTTCTTATTGTATGTCTTCTGTGGAACTATTTTGAGAAATGTCCATAGAATGAAAGTCAATGTTGTTTGGATCCCAACATTTTCCTTTTATGTTCCTCTGAAGAAAGAAAGTCCTATAGATTTGGAACAAAATGAATGTGAGTAAATGATGACTCGGATTTAAATTTTTGAGTGAACTCTACCTTTAATTGCTAGCGGTGCAGTTTTAGTTTCTCTCTCATTTTCAGCAGATTCTAAAATCATTAAAAAACGATCCTGCATCATACAGGTAAACACCAGAAGCGACCATCGTTGAGAAGCATGAGCGTTTGAAGTTGTGATGAGTGTAGGTGGAGAGGGAACACGTTTGATGCTATAAAGAAGCACGTAGGAGGAGACACTGTTTTCGTACTGTGCTGCTGAATTCACGCCGTCTATTTTTGATAGTCATTATTCTCATGCATATGGTCTAGGTTTGCGCTCTGTTTTTGATATGCAGACGTGCCATGCGGGCATACATTTGATTTAGCCATGCTGGATATGCATCTGGAGCAATGACTAAATAAAGCACGATGCATTTTACGTGTGGACTCTAGACTTGTGCCGGTATTCGGTAATGCGATATATCACGGTAATGAATATGCACGATATTGTTATCGTGGGCACTTCTAAATACCGTGAATAATTATATATTACAAATTATTCAGAATTTTGAATGCAAAATGTTCAGTTATTTTTGTTATAAGAAAAATTTTATTAAACCTGTTATACTGTATTATGACAGCACTTTTTTTTAAAACTAAATTTCAATATCGTGATAATACCGCATACCGTGATAAAAGCATGAGCAATTAATCGCAACATGAAAATTTGATACCGGCATATCCCTAGTGGACTCTAATGAGACATTGAGTGGAGGGGGCTCCATTCATCCTCATGCCTGAGCAGCCAAAGTAATGATTCTGTACATCAGTTATCTAGTCTTTAGACTCCTGTCTCTCGAGAGAAAGTGGCAAATGCTGCAAAACTGGCTAAAGGACGGAGATCGGGAGAGTGATGGA